TCATTAGTCCCATCGGGGAGGTAGATACCTTCATGTGAGCGGTACATAATATGTAATGCCTGGTAGTGGAGCCACTGCTTTTCTTAATCGGGTACTACTTAAGTAAGTACTCCGTAGCTAGGGCTCAATTTCGAGAGGCTTGTGCCAACCAGACTAGCTCAATTTGGTATAAGTGCTAGCGGGTTCTTGCACAATGCAATGCAAGGGTTAAGTGACGGAGAACGTATAGAGCTTATTTCGACTCTAACAACTAGCTATTGCGTAGTTCATTCGAGAGTATTCCGTAAATGTGATACATGAGTAAATTATAGAGCTCCAATAGGGGAGTGGACGGTGTAGTTGGGAACCATCCTGGTGAATGCAATTGCGTTCGTAGGTTCGAATCCTGCCTCCCTCAAAGATTTTCTAACAGCCGAGAAGCACGGGTTTGCCCTCACGGAGGTTTCCCGTGCTTAGTCAGTGAAGTTCATACTGAGATAGTTCCAAATGTGCCTTGGTAGTGGTGGATAGGGGGTTAGGGTGGCCTGTTGTTCCGTGGGCAGTGTGGAGCAAAACTGGAACCTCGCCATGGTCATGCCTTATGCGAGTAATGAATTTAAAAAAAATAAAAAATAAAAAATAAAAAAAAAGAATAAACTCAGTGGCAGGCAGCAGTGACTGAATTGAAGTTGATGACTGATGAAGGTTCTGGTGCCACCATTATCCACAGGGAGATCCAACGGAGACAACAGTGCTAGGTGAAGAATATTTTTCAATTAACATGTGAATATATGTGCTTCTATGTTACATAGGTATGTACGGTGCACGACTTAAACGTCGACCAATCCAACTATCTTATTTATCTCATATTCTAGAGGCTCCTCATGCGCCTGGCTACAGCTGAGGCCTTTGTGAGACTAAGATCCTGTTGATATTGACGGTGCAAAAAACCGCTATCGAGATTCTCCACAGACTCATGAAATAACAAAATGTGGCAAGGAGTGGATCAATTATAATTTGAAATGGCAAGAGATGCTGATAGTCAGACTAGAATACTAGAGCAGACTAAAGCACCCGAACATGCGTATCTCTCCTAGAGTTTTCTGAAACAAGTAGGCCTGATATGATTGTTAATGTCCAATCTATACTGTACCATTCACAGTAGTGAGATTAGTACAATTTTAAATTATGGCTGTAAGGTTTTATTCTATCACTACCATCTGAACCCTACTACATTATAGACCTAACAAATACCATTAAGCATGCATGAATATTGTACAAGTCTAGGCGATGTATATTTAAAGTCAATTAGCATTGTAAACATGGAGTAAGACATTGCTCAATATCTATGTATAGTTCTAGAACATTAGTCTTTGCCCAGGTGTAGACTAAAAGAGTGACTTTGTAGTGAAACATTAAAAACTAACAATGCAATAAATTCTACTAATATATACAGCCTATAAAGGCTAAGAATCAAGCCAGAGATAATAGCTCTTGAACTTGTATTTCGTCAGCTGGAGCCTAGAAGACTGGGAAGGTATGCATATATAATGTGACCATCAAATCGGTTTGGGAATGGTACTTGACTACCACTCTTCGACCTTCTGGATTTTTCACCTAGGAATATTTTCCATTTATAGTGTGTTTAAAGGGCATGCTTGATAGAAATACCAACAGTTAGCTAGGGCTAATGTCACAGGGTTATACAATTGATGAGCAGTGAAATAAGCCCCCATCTCATTTCCTAGGTACCAGTGGTCGAAACCTCCAAAACACCTTGCATTTCTCGAGAAGTTTACTGATCGCTATAACTAAACAAGCTTCGAAATACATGCTAGTCTTAAGGTCTATAACGAGTTACGTCAAAAGGGGCAAGTCTCCCTAGCTACGCACGTGATTATCCTAACCTGCATTATCGTGTCTAGGCCTACATCTATAAGTCCTGCGTTACATTCACCTTCTAAGGAAACATAGCCTGCGGATCGACTATATGCCGTTCTAACATCCACTCATCAAAGTAATATATTGTGCGCGATTTATAAACGGTGGTTCGAGAACGAGCATTGTCGGATTATGAAACCAACCCTGTAGGACATGGGTTTTTTTTTATTTTTTATTTTATAAATCAATACTCGCATACGGCATGACCATGGCGAGTGGACATGGGTTTGGATGTTGAAAGTTAGGAATGGATTTGTATTGAGCATAATAATGAATTGGGTAGGGAAACTGGATATTCTTCACCTTCTGTTTTTTCCCAAGCTTCTGCCTGCCAGATATGGTCGATCGGCTGCAGTCATCTTACCATTTGCTTTAGATGGCATAATTAGTGTGCTATTATGGGGCTGATGTTGTAGGTAGGTGCTAGGTATGTAGTACAGATCGACGTAGCTTGGTTAAGATCTACGACTAGCTGATCTCTGACGAGAAAATTAAACCCCGCTGTTCGATGATTAAAAGCCCAGTGGGACCTTTAATCCTCGACATTTTCTCGGTCTTCCATCTCAATCGCTAGTCTGGCGGGCACCTTTACTACCTGCAGCTGCTTTGTTTCTAGGTAGTCTGGCGGTCTCTAGGAATATTTCCCAACCCTCTCAATTGTGGTATCACTATCCCAAGGATTCAAGAATCCAACATTCACGTTCAACCCAGCTCAACCAAGTTATCTAGGGTCACCCATATACTCTATGGCGGCCTCGGGCAGACCAGAGCACAGGCCAGTTCCAGGTCACCAGTTGGGAGGCGCCGGGGCACCTGGCTCGGGAGCATCGAGAGCCACACCAGAACAGTTATGCCAATGGACGTTCACGGACCTGCAGCCTGGCACATCGTCGATAACCAAGGAAAATTTTGTTGTCCTGGGTTCTTACAACTGGCGTGAAGCTAAACGTCCCATTATTGTTGTCCCCGGTTCGTTGCAATAATAATTACCCTAATAAGCTCCCTGAGTGTCTCAATTCCAATGACTATGATACTTTATATCTAACGAAAAGGTGAAAATCTCAGGGGCACCATCAATATTGGATCCACCAGAAATACCTATCTCCCTAAAACCCGACCATGGACACAACTTTGTGGACCAAAACGCATTCCGACATCCCACCTTCCCATTGGAGCCCATGCTTCAAGCGGTTCTCACTTCAAACCCTTCATTTGATTTCAATAAGATTGATATCGTTACAGATCGTTCCAATCTGCGTAGATTATTACAATTTGCTAGTGGAAAAAGCCACCAAGATTTCGAAATTGCAGTTGAGGCTGTGAACAAAACAGTTTTATTCACTCGTCTTGAAAAACATCCAAGGTCCTATAATAGCCCTCGACAGACCTCCGTGTATGGATTTCAGTTTGAGAAAGTCTTCACGAAGGCCCCTGCGGCGGTAAAGGGGTCAACAGGGCATTATCGAATTGTTAATTATACCATCGGAGGACTGAATGTACTTCTTCTGTTTGAAGTTGACGGAGCTTTACCACATAGTGCTGACCCAAATTCAGCGCATGCTGGGCTCCAGGCGCAAATTCCAGCGAATGTATTGTCAACACCTAATGTCCCGCAGGCCAAAGGAGAGCCATTCCAGGGCCAGGTCCAAGGGCTGGGTGGTGCTTCAGCAGTCATTTTGGGACAACAGACAGCAGGACGCACTAACCTTGTGATTGTCAAGGGAGGGCAACTCTTCCACGAGCAGCAAGTTGTGGAGCTCAAGACTCGAGCATACAAAACGGACCACGGACTCCAACTTCAACAATACATGCCCCAACTTTGGTTCGCAAACGTTCGGCATTTAGTACTTGGTGTGCATAAGGAGGGGACGTTTTCCAATGTTAAGACGCATACTGTGAACGATGCAGCGATTATTGCATGGCAGGAAACACATAAAGAAGAATTGGGTAAATTGGTCGACCTGTTGAGGAAAATTACAACAACGGCTAAAGGCACTACAGAAAGGACTGGGGTACGTTGTGTTAAGGGCAAATTAATAATGGAAACTTTCCATGGGCAATCTAACTTGGGAAAGCTGTCAGAAGATCTGAGGCAGAAGTGGGCTACCGGGGTGCGTGAAAGTGAGGAGGGGATTTAGTTTAGCTACTTTCAACTCCTTGATGCGAGGCATAGGCCTTACTCTGAATCTACCCGGGATTCCGGGTGGCTAGCCATAGTCCCATTGTATACGAGTAATGAGGGGAAAAAAAACCGGGTCATGTGGGGTTAAATTTAAGATAGTGATTTGCTGATGGAGCTGTTATCGTGCCCAGAATAGTTTTTGGGAGGCTCGTTGCCTCGCGCTGCTATATTAATTGATGGAACCATGCATTCAAGCTTGTGTTTTGCTCATTGGTTATTGGGCGACGGTGACACCTTTATGGATTGCCACGGTGATGGCGTATTTGCAATTTGCAAGATTGTAACTGCCGCATACTAGTAGTCAACCTACTCAATGGAATTATTCACAACCACTTCGAGTAACCCTCGTGGGGGGAAATCCTGAGGAACTGTTCTCATGCTGGTGCTGCGCTGGGCTCTAACAAGGCGATTATTTATCCTAGTAGTAGGCATACAGTGAACCCGCAGTATAGGCAAGCAGCTGGTCGGAGCTGGAAGGGAGTTTCTCATCGCTGGGTTTCTTAGGTACACAAAAAACTAGGAAATGTCCGAGGGAGGCTTAAAAAACCCGTGATTCTAGTTGATGGTATATCCGGCGAGCCATGCCTTGCAGACTCTCAATATCCTAGTTTTCGCACGATTCAGAAGAGACTAGTGCCTCGCCTTTTGATGAGTTGGGTTGGACATGTTGAAGACAAAAGAGAGGGGGGGTTCAAGTGCGGCCCTGTGGGAAATAATGGGTACATCTTGAATGCCATCTGGACCAGCATTCGAACCTAAAACTTGGTATGGAGCAGACAGGTAGCTATCTAAAGCAGAATGCTTATATCGCGAGGTTTCTTATAGATATCAGAGTAGCGGATGCACGAGACTCATAGTTCACTATGAGATTCAGATAGTACAAAAAAGGTATGATAAAGGTTCTATGGCGCAATTGGTTAGCGCGTCCGGCTGTTATTCTTGTGAGAGTTCAATAAACCGGGAGGTTGAAAGTTCGAGTCTTTCTAGTACCGAGTACTTACTTTTGATTTTGGTTTTGCCACCCACGACCTGGTGGTCTTGTTCTTTTGGGCATACGCACACAACCCTAACCCACACTTGTTTTGATTTGTTCCCTGTCTTAACAACTATTGCAACATCCAGAAGTTAGATTAGGGTGGGAGTTAAAACTATTGAGCTTCTTGTTCTTTTTTTACCTTAGCAGTCGTATCGCGAATCACCCTGCAGCCCCGGAGGATGCAAGGGTTAGGCAAGTGAAGATACAGTATCACCTGCCTCATTCCATAGGGGCCGGGGACATGGTCATTTATACAAATAGAGAGATTTTGTGGATCCAGAGGTACTTATTAACTTTGTGAGGGTAACACCCCTGTTCGGGATGGCTGTTAGATGCAATAAGAGGGGTTATGCGCATATAATAGGCGCAATTTCAGAGGTTTAAGTGCACGTTTACTATTGACAAGCTGACGATAGCCAGTTCTAGCGGACATGACGCACTTATAGCTCAGACGGTAGGGTCACGAATGTTCACTGACAGATATAAACTGGACTAAGATGATCATGACAGTAGAATGACGTTAGCAACGTTTACACGATAGGTTTCATGCATGCGCTAGAGAATATATTAGATTCAGGAGTCGCATATTGTCTATTATTTCACGATATGCTACGTTTGTGCCAGATTGAACGGTAAGTGCCAGACACCTGTATGCAGCTTTTTCTTAGGTGAGGCTGTTCCCATATGCGGCGAGTGAGGATGCCGGTAAACCCCCCGATCTCCACAGTCTCGACTCACCCAAGCTCTACCTCAACTACTTTGTTCTCCTCCATAGGCCCCAACATGCTCCATTCTGAGTCATCAGCCAAAGCCACGGACGCCATCGTCAACAAAGCCAGCAAAGCCGTCACGACATCGCGGTATACATCCTTATTCATCATCTCCGTATACAGGAGAAACAGTTTCCAAGTTTGGAGTACTCGCAAGAGTATTCGTCGGGCCCCACGATTCAGAGTTCTCGGATCAGCAGTCGGGTCCAACGCACAGCAGCTCTCCCAAACACCTTTATCGACTCTTGCATAACGATAACTGGAGGCCGCTTTACACCACTCATAGGCTTGCCCAATTCCGGTAATGTATTCACAATTTATAATTGAACAGTCTAAAACAGGGAGGACTGGGATGTTGAGAAAAGCTCGGGGTGAAGCAGTGAATTGGGGTCGAGTCAGGCAGTAAGGGCTTAGCCAGTGATGCTTGACACACCAGGATAGTGCGGCTGTGCATGCCCGGGCTTGAGTATCATTTAAACGCTGCAAGGGATATGTACGGATGCTGGACACCAACGCTGCATCCCGGCGTTTCGCAAACTGGACTATATCGAGTTTAGTGCTAATATCTGTCGTTGAGTTCTCATCTGCATCAGGCACCAAGGTGAGCCTCGGCAATAGGCCCGCGGCCCAATCCACAAAATCTGGTGGCGTACCCAAGCCTGGTGCTGGCGGCCACCCATTAATGTCGACGTCCATCATTTCTGGGACGCAATTTGGCCACAGGATTTGTTGTGCTGCCTTGCCTCTTTCTTCCATCTTGCCTCTTGCTTCTGGCCAATGAACCTCTAAATTCGCATTCAATGGCACTCGCCCATACGCCCACACAGAATCCGCGTATAACGACTGGCTTGTTGCTTGGGACATTTCGTCAAGAATCATGTACCTCCCTCCCGGGCTCCCATGGAAATGAGCCAATGGTCCGAGACTGTTTAGCTTATCATAGTACAGCTTCGCACCAGTATTATAAAAGATAACACGAGTCTCCTCCCAAGCTGCATCCCGCAGACCCATAATCCTAGCATACCACGACAAAGAATGAACATTCGTAACCGCATTTGCTGGTCTCACCACTCCATTACATCCCGGTGCGCTCGCCTGCGTCAAATTAGACCAATGCTTTCGCTCAAACCCGCACATATCCATAACATCTGCCCAACACGACTCACTCCTCTTCCTAGTCGTCTCCCTCACAGCATACATATGCCTTTGAAAGGCTGGCGCTCCGCTAGCAAGCTCTTCTGTAACACTATCCACCAGCCTCCTTCGAATTCTTCTTTCAATAGGCTTCCGCTTCGTCGCGCGGGCTTCGTCTAGTAAATATTGCTTGATAGCACGTACAGTAATTATTGGTACAGTGAGGCGTCGAGGATCTCCCCAAGGTGATCTGAGCCCAAGTGGTTGGAGGAGAAGGTGAATAAAGAATTTCGTTTGGGGCCAGGAGATGGCCCAGGAGCCGAGAGCAAGATAGTCGGTCTTACCTTTCCTCCTTGAATCAATGGAGAATTGGATTTGGACTTGGAGGAGAGCCATGAAAAGGGCAAAGAGGGCGATGATGAATGAAGCAAGAGAGATTGCAGTGGCGACATCCATGGAGATTACAGCTTAGCAATTCGAAACAGGGAACATAAATGTATCGACTGCTAAGCTGAAGCTCAGTGTATTAGTATCTTGAGAAATATTCCAAGATTCAAAGCGGCCTGGCGTAGTTTTTGATTCACCGACGTTGAAGCTAGAAAAATTAATATTATGAAAAGTTACAATTTAATAATTTCTGGCTAGCTAGAGGACGTGGCCTGGCGTGCATGGATAAACATTTCATTTGGACTTTTGGTCAGCTCGGGGAATCAGGCAACCTGAGGAAAATCAAACATCCAATGAACGGCCCTACACACGCAGCCGGGCGTTGATGGAACTACTTTGGAACCGGGGTCTGTAGCACCTGAAGAGCCGCACGGCTCGGGTGAGCGAAAGGTCAGATCAGAACTAGAAGAATATTCACTAATACCCCAAGGGAACTAACTTAGCATCGGGAACGCTTCCCCCTCGTTTAAACCGTTTTGATCTCCTTTTTTTTAATTTAAGAAAAACTCGTGCGCAATCGTAAGCATACATAGGGTCATCTCGGACCTGGGGAGACTTAGAAGGAGAGAGGGAGAAATGAGACACGGTGGAGGCATCCACCGACCCCTCGCGGGATGCTGATGAGAGGGAACTCGAGACAGAGCCTAGGTGGGAGCTTGAGGAAGACTGTCTGATCCTTTTTTAGAAGATGATGTCGAGCATGACGTTAGTAATAACTCCCGCATCCACACCACCACGACAACGCGGCGTTGAAATAAAGGTACCAACTGGTCAAGGCTGGGAGGATGGACGCTCACGACCACCACTACACACAACCACAACAACTCACGCTTAGCCAGCATTATAGTGGAAGAAGCCGACCCCATGACACCCCGGATACTGGGTAGGCATTATTTTTTTTTTTCTTGTTTTTTATTATTTATTTATTAAAAACTCAATTACTCGTATGCACAACCTTTAGGGACATATGGCGAGCCACTCGGAATCGAGTGGATGCAAGGTAGTACAAGTTAATCTTCACGACCAGCACAGAGAGAGGACCGCTCGCAGGTACAGCTATCACCTATCTCAGAATCCAATGGCGCAGGTAGAGAAGTTCGAATCGCATGTAAGAATGAAAACAAAGACAGCTCGCAGATACCAAGATCTAGAGATCGAACGAGGAGACAATAACTCGCAGGTTTACTAATAGGAACGCAGGTGGGAAAAACCACAAATTCACACAAACAACACTTGAAAAATTTATGCTGGTAGGACATCCATCACATACACCCGTCCTTCTCCCTCACAGACGGGACACTTCCTATTTGCTTCCCCATACAACTCGCACGTTCCCGACGTATTTGTACTGGTCGTTGGGTTGGTGGGCGACGAAGCACTTTGTTTCCCTTACCCCTCCCCTTTCCCACTACTAAGCAACGGTTCCAGTCATACCTTGTGGTCCGCAGTCTGCCCACCTCCTCCGCTGATCTCACGTAGATTATCAGGGAAGATGCCACCTTTCCCGATTCGTGCTGTTTCAACAGCCACACGATCCCCAAGACCTCCACTCGTTTATTTTCTTCACTGGTGGTATAAAGGACTGAAAAAGACGCAGAAGTTTAGAGAAGTGTATTGACCCTGGAGCCCTGAGCCAATGACGGCATTTGCCTCTAGGACGATAAGTCTACTGATTTCGAATCCCGCAGAGCCTCGAGTTGCTTTCAACATAGTCTTCCTAATTCGGACATACTTGCCATGGCATTATGCCGCATGCGCATAGTGAAAAAAAAATTAAAAAAAATCAGACGTAGTTTTTAATATTTATGAAGTATGAATAATGGGATAAATCAGAATCTCCATTTATATTCTTGATGGTATGAAGACTATGAAATCATGCGTGTGTCGAAGGTTTGACCTGCATTATCTAAGGTACGAGTACTTAAGTTGGGCTTCATCTTAACTATCCGATACTCCCCTCGAAATCTCTCACCATTAATAAAAATTGCAATCGCTTATGTTTTATCAACCGGGATCAGCTCATGTGCCACTCACAAACACGTTGCTTGTAAGAGCTAGCCAATTACAATAAATCGGCAACACAAATAATTCTCTGCGTTATGAAGTTGCCACCCTCCTGCAGTTGTGTGAGTGTCTAACAATAGGAGGAAAGACGTCATTGACTGATATGCGAAGCCCAAAGTGATCGGCAGATCCAGAGCTATGATTGAACAGGAATCTCAGCGCAGTGAAGCTAATGTACTTACCTTTCCCCGCATCTGAATAATTTGCGTTTCCTCTCATTGGTTGCAAATAAAGGTCATCAGTTTCGGTTTGTGAAGCCTACTTTGCCCGCTTTGACCATCAGAGGCCCCAATCAAAACCCACCGTTTGAGCAAGGTAATTTGTCTTGGAGAATGTTGACAATGATCTTAGTGTAAGTAAGTATTATAGTACGTACGTACTCGCGGGTAGTCAATGGTTGGGTTGCCGACGCTAAAAATTGCAGCTGAGAATTATGTATAGCTATCATGTCCAAAAAATTCGCCTGACTTCTGTCCAGGCAATTTCTACTTGATTTACAATGACAACTAAGTACAGGATAATTAACATCGTTGAAACCCCA